TGTATGAAAGATTAAAAAATATCTTTACCCACTGAGTGAGAAATGTATTTTATTAATGCAGATAAACTTAATTGAAGCCAGATGTGTGAGGTATTTTTCAAACATTTCTATGGAAATTTTCTGGCTCATGCTGAGCAGCCAACATTCATTGTATTCACAATCAACTTGATGCTCTTAAAGCAGGAGAGGCTGGGAGAAGTGTTCCAAAAATGTCCTGTTTGGTAGAAGGAGTGGGGGAGAGGGACACTGTTGTCGCTTGATTAGAGGCTTGGCTGGGCACTTGGACTTAATTTCCTGACATCTGAAAGTCTTTCCTGTATGATCTATTTCTCTGTCTGAGTGGTAATATAAGATGCTCAGATGTCAAACTGGTGGGAGCTAGACAATGATTTAATAAGGCTAGATTTTCAGGTCTTAAAGATGACAGTAAAAAAGGCAGTGTTTTAATGTTAGGTAGAAAAAGAAAGCAGATAAAACATGGCTTAATTTTTAACTTACTTGATCCCTTTGACTGGACCCTCTAGATTTCAGGAAAATACCTTCAACTTTTCTGAGCCAGTCAGTTTTTTAGCCAAGAGGCAGTCAGGACAGAGACAGTAACCATCTGGTTACTACTATTTCAATAAAGATGTCTAGTCATTGGGCTGGATTCTCCTTCTAGCTGTCTATGAAAATCAGTATCAACTGACTTTCTCTTAAATAACATGGTGTATTGAGAAGAGGATCATGCTCTTTAGAGTTTATTTAAGCTAAGAGGAACCTGAGCAGACACATTTATATCTGAAACCAGATAGCCAAATGCTCAGTAAGCAAATTATTGTCATGCTATGGCACATGAAAAGGTCAGATTGTACTGATCCAAATAGAAATTGTGTTCTCCCTCCTCTGCCATGTTGTGTCTTCATCACCTGGTTGTTGGAGCTATGGTGCTGATAACTTCCTCTCGTGACAGACGGTTTCAATGTTTTCTGCTTTGCAGAGGGCCTTCACCACGCCAGGAGGCCTTGGAGCTACCTACAGCTCTGTCTCTTTGACTGATCTACTGCTCACGAGTGATACAATTTCAGCCCAGACCTCATCATAGTAGTGAAAACATCACAGTGCCTGGGGAAGCAGAGCAGCTGTTGGCATAGTGCAGCACAGTGTACAAGGCAATAAACTGATTGAAGTCAGTGGGCTTTTTCCATCAGCTTTGCAAATCAGGCCCATATAGGTGTCTTTGAGAAGCAACAGCTCTGATTTTCCTCTAGAAAACACCATATAATTCATACATAATTTCACTACCCCATAGCTAGACTAGCACTGCCGTCCTCTCTTGTTGCTCTTGCAGCTGCGGATGCACCAGGCTCACAGCTGATTCAGAAGACCTCTGTCAGATGTTTGCACAGACAAGAACGCTCCGCTTACTTTACCCGTACTGATATCAACACTACTTTCTAAGAAGACATTGGATACACTTTTGAGATTGTCATTGCTTTTGTTCAGTGCTTTCCAAAATGCCAAAGTTCAGAACATAATAGCACTGATGAACAGCGAGGCATAGCTTCACTTGGCATCCTCAGGTTACCTAATGGCAGATTGTCCTGGGAAAAATGCCTAGCAAGGAGTAATCCTGGGATCTGCTACAATTAAGAGGGAAGGAAGAATTAAAGGGCTCAGCCAGGCTTCAGAGGCTTTCTATTCGCAGTGAAGCTCAGAAGTGACGAATTTTAGATCATTCAAGGCTCAGAGTTTCTCATAGCCCTCCTTGGGCAGCACAGGGTAGAATTCCTGTGAGGCTCTTTAGGAGAACATCTTTAAAGAAGAGTGGAATTATCTGTCCAATATGTAATAGCAAATTAAAGTATTTCCTGCAAACTCTGCCATGCAAAGAGATAATGCTTGTGATGGCTTTCTCCTGCTTTGCTCTACTTATGTGGATAACCAGAGGATCCTTGACTAGAGTTTATCAGTCACAGCTTCACAGCAGCACTTGTCATGACTGCTTATTTTTAGCATATTATCTTTCAGACAGTCCTCCAAAAAGACTTCTATTCCAGCCAATTTCATTAGATTGTTTTGTTATTGATGGAATAATCTCATTTTGTCACACACATCTGAGATGGCTAGAAACCCTGGAGCCCTCACCAGTCTGCTTATCAAAAGCTTGAATTCAGATTCAGTCTGACCAAAAATCTTTCTGAAATCAGTCAGACTTTTCATTGGCATCAGGATAGTCCAGATGTTTGTCTTGCCTCTTTCTCAAATATGCTTTGGATTTCAACTAAGAAATAAATGGACTGCAGCCTTGGGAGTCTTGGCTCTCTTTCGAGTCAAACGAATTCCGGGCTTCTATTATTAACAGTAATTGTGCTGCTCTGGTAGGGTACTCTCTTTTTTGATCCTTTTTGTTTCCTTCTGGTGCTTTCTTTTCTTTAAGCGGAAATCAAGAAAGTTCCTTTTATCCCAGCTGATCAATTTCTCCTGATTTCAAACTGTTCTTGTACCCTGTTTAAAATATATCATTATGAATTTACCTTGTATTTTTATGATGTATGTTAGCATTTACAAGACTAAATGTAGTGGGTAGATTGTTAATTATTTGCTTTTCCCTCCATTAACTATTCTGTGGCATTTTGATGGTGTGATTTTATAGAGGCTTGAGAATAGCTGAGCCTTCTCTACTTGGGCTTAATGAGAGTTCAGCCTCTCTCTTCAATGGGACCTGGATGCAGCCCCAAACTCCTGTTTTATTTTGATGTATTGTCCTCCCTAAGATGATGCATTCCTGTAAAGACAGTAATTGCTTGTACCTTCCAGTTTAGCATTGTTTACTCTACAATTTCCACTGAGAAGCCACAGGAAAATGTTTTTATGAAGGCAGCTGTACTGAAGCTGCTTTAGTGAAGGTCCTACCAGCAATTAAACTGTAAGTCCGTAGGCACACGGGAACAGATGACTAACATACCCGCACAGCTCATAGTTTAGGAGTCTCCTTTTGCTCCAGATAGTTTCTCGTGCTGATGCTGAGTCTCGGACCTGTCCGGTGGTGCAAGGGTCAGCGGCTCCTTGCTCTCCGTGACCGACCGGCTGTGCCAGGGGACCGGGCGCAGCACCACAGCCTGATGCACACAGCTGACCTGGGGCCGCGAGTGAGGCTGCACCGAGGGTGCCCGCACTGGGCACGGGACCGGGTTCTGCTGTAGCTGGATAGCAGCACGGGATTGTGTCCCCGAGGATCCCAGCGTGTGGTGGCAGGAGGCCTTAAACAATAAAAGCAATAAAATTAACCAGGGAAATGACCAAATATTCTACTCCATGATAAAAGGAAACTGGAAATCCATTTGTGGCATCTTTGGGCATTTTCTTCCCACGTTTTATTCCATTCC